CAGCCCCGTCGCTGCCGGCCACACGCCTGCCACTCTGGCCTGTGCCGCCTTCGCTTGCTGCCGGAGGGTTCCGCTGCCTCTCGGCCGGCAAGCCTCAGCAAACACATTTAAATCTCAAGTGACAGATAAAGCGATTTACGGGCGACAGTTTAGCGTCAGATCACTTCCCACCAGGCAGTCGCGTCCCTGCGGCCCCCCTGCCTGCCAGTCCATCAAGGCGGTCTCTAAATCACCACTGCAGCCACAGCGGCCTGGGGACAGCTGGGAGCAGGGGGGGCCGCTTGGTGGCCACTCAGTGGTCCCGGCCTCCGCCCCTCCGGGCAGCAGGGGGATAGTCGAGGGCTTGGAGAGCCTGGGCCGGATGAGGGCTGCAGGTCTGCACGAGCCCGGGACTGGAGGCAGCCGAGCGCCACCCCTCGCCAAAGTTTATATAAATAAGCGGCTTATCCGTCCCCCTGTGAGGCCACTCGTCGCTGTGAAACGCAGCTTCCCACCGGATCTTCACGGCCAGCCCGGTGCCCAGACCCCACAAAGACCTCCCCGACCCGCCTCGCCTCCGGCCACCTCCTTAAGAATCAATTAGTCCCCGCAGCAGCACACGGTACTCCCCCCCCCCCCCCGGGGCTTTTTCACATTATCTTCTACTTAGTTGCACTGGCCCGACTGCCCCAGTATTAATCTACCCGGGCTCCCGGGCCGGGCCCACACGTCATCCTCCCACCCACCCTGGCGTGGGGCTGGCGGGGTGCCATTCTTCTTCTTTTTTTTTTTGTACCGCAGATTGAACCCAGGGGCACTTAACCACTGAGCCACGTCCCCAGCGCCTATATATTTTTTTCTTTTTTTAAAATTTTTTTAAAATTTATTTTCTAGTTTTCAGCGGACACAACATCTTTGTTGGTATGTGGTGCTGAGGATCGAACCCGGGCCGCACGCATGCCAGGCGAGCACTACCGCTTGAGCCACATCCCCAGTCCATCTGTACTTTTTTTTTTTAAATATATATTTATTTATTTTTGGTTTTCAGCGGACACAACATCTTCATTTGTATGTGGTGCTGAGGATCGAACCCGGGCCCCACGCATGCCAGGCGAGCACTACCGCTTGAGCCACATCCCCAGCCCCATCTGTACTTTTTTTATTTTGAGAGAGGGCCTCACTGAGTTGTTTAGGGCCTCACTAGGTTGCTGAGGCTGGCTTGAACCTGTGATCCTCCTGCCTCAGCCTCCCAAGCTGCCGGGATTACAGGCGCACTGCGCCCAGCTGGATGCCATTCTTCAGATGAGGCTCTGAGGGCAGGGGCCAGCAGGAGAGCTGCGGTTCCAGCCCACCCGGGCCTCTGCATGGACAGCACCCTGGCACTCTCGGTGACGGTGCTGGGCGGGGACTGCTTTGAAGGGGAAGACCCCTGTGTCTTTACACAAAGCATCACATTCATCTCCACATCGCCCGTTGTGTCCCCAAGGCCCAAACTGGACAGCCAGACCCCTGGGTTGACCAAGAATGGGGGTCTGTGTGCCCCAGACATTTCCTGCCTGGGCCTTAGCTGTCTGTCAGGAACAGGGGCCTGGCACAGGCCTGGGAGGCAGAGGCTCCAGGCGTGGAGACAGCTGGGCCAAGGTCATGCCCCTAGGGCCAAAACAGACAGGATACTCGGACGCCATGGGCTCCCAGGATGGAGACCCCAGACCTGAGCTCCCCTAGGGCCCAGTGATGGGGTCACAGGCCAAGCTGCAGAAGCAGGCAAAGAGAACGGGGTGGGTGAGGGCCTCCCTGCTTATCTTGCCAGCATGGCAGCCCAATTTAATTAAGATGGATGTGGCATGCCCCCATGGGCAGGAGCCGTGGCGGGCACAGATGGCAGGAGCCGGAGACTCTCCCAGGCACTGCCCTAGCAAGTGGCCTTGGCCACCAGCCCGTGGAGAGGGCAGAGGTGTGACTGTTGCACAGACTTGGAAGGTCTGTCCCCAAGTATGCTCCTGCGACCTCAAGCCCTGCCACCCACCAGATACCCCACTCTGTTCTCTGCCCACCTCACCCCTACTGCGTACCACCTGGCATAGCTCTCTCTGTCACGTACAAACCCCCCGTCCACCATCATGCCCCCCCACAGCAGCACACATACCAATAAAGTGGGGTGAAAACCAGTGCTGGGGTTGAGATGCCAGGTGGCCAGTGGGAAACAGTCCCCTTTCCAAAGTCTGCAGGGGGCCTATGGGTGGAGCTTCTGTCCCCCCTCCCCCCCTGAAGTGGGAGGGGCACGGTGTCCCCTCTGCAAGCCACCTGGGCCCTAGACAGAGGGAGAAGCCCACAGCCTGGGAGTCCCCATCCCCCTTTCCCTGGCAGCCCCCCATGCCTCCCCTACAGGGTCCCTGAGCCAGACCCAGCCAGTGACACCCCTCCCCATCTGGTAGCAGGGACAAAGAGAGACCCCTCCGCACAAAATCCAGAAGCTCTATCCAGATCTCCAGGCCCAGCCAGCCCACACCCACACCATCCCGGGGGCCACCAACACCCGCAGGGCCAGCACTGCCCATGGCTTCAAAAATAAAGATTTAAAAATTCCCACCCGAGATAATCGCTGTCTCCTTTTGCCTATTGTGGTGGCTCCGCGGTCGGCGCTGAGAAGCAATTATTCACGGCTAATGATTATAATCAAGTCAAATAGAATTTAATGGACACGTATTCTCTTCCTGCTTGAAACTTTACATATGAATTAAGCACATATGGGTTTCACGAGGCACAGACGCAGATTTATGCAGCCCCGAAAAGCCCCGCGTTGCCGACGACTTTTATTCCGCTAATAAACAGGCTGATTTATGGGCTTGGCCGGAGCCGCGAGCTCTGCTGCCCCCTGGCGGGCGGCACGCCGGGCGGAGCCACAGCGCCAGGACCACCCCCCCCCCCCCCCCCCCGCCAGACTGAGGACCCCCCGAGGTCTGAACCGGGCTGCGGCTGCCAGGACACCCCGCACCCAGGCTCTGGAGGGGAACCCATATCCAAGGCCTGCTTCAGCCAGTCCTCGTGGTTCCAGGACAAGTTCTAGGTCCTCTTGGCTGAGACTAGAAAAAGGAGATCCCAGGAAAACAGGCCAACAGGGTGGGGTAAACTGAGGCAAGCAGAGGGAGATGGAAGCCATCACCTGCTGGGGAGGGAGGCAGTGCAAAGTGCCTGGCATCCTAGGGACAGGGATGGTGCTCAAGATGATGCCAAGGGCCTCGATGGAGCAGGGGTGAGCTGGCACATACCACACACCCACGGCAGGGGTGCCCCCCTACCATCCCCTAGTGCAGGAGAGGGAACGGCCAGGCAGCTACGACCCTCGCCCCAGCCCAGGGCAGCGAGATGCAGCCAGCGGCGGAGTGCTTCTCATGAGCAGCTGACAAGCTGCTGCACCCAGCCTGGCCAGTCACAGGGCACTTAGGAAGGGCCATTAATCATGCCCGTAGCCTCCAGAGCCCCCAGCCCGCTCCATCTGCATCTTGCTGATACCCGCCAGGGTCCTCCTCCGTGGTCCACGACACAGCCGTCCACCGGTGGGCTGGGAAGGAGCTCATGAAAGCGTCTCCCTCTGGTCACCACGACTCAGCAGGAAAAGGACCAGAGGGCCCCTCCTGCACCCTCGCCAATGACTGGGCAGCCCCATGACCTTCATGATCATCCCCAGGGTCAGCCCAGCCCCTCCCGGCACAAGACCTTGCTCTTTTTCCCTGGGCCTCCCAGACATCTGCCAACCCAGAAGTGGGCTGTCTGAGTTCTGTCTGCCTAGACCGACTCACAGACCTTGCTGCCACCCACCAAGGGCAAGTGGCCCAAGGGAGATACACCAAAACCACCAGCAGTTACAAAGACCACCCAGCTCTCCCCACCAGCCACTCCGAGTGGGAACTCCTGCCTCTGTGTGACTTGTCACCTGTGCACCCACCAGGCCATGTGCAGGGACAGAGCAGTTCCACAGACCCCATGGGAGGACAGCTGAGCAATGCCACTGCCGGAAACACTGCAGACCAGCAGGGGGGCCGGGGACACAATGAGCAGCCCCCTCTGCCTGGACCCTGCAAGCCCAGTCACCTAAGGAGGACTGAGACCACTCAACACAACCCCACTGGCCCCCTCTCTGGCACTGAGGGCAAGCCCAGCGGTGCGAGGGAGGAGATTCCAGAACCCCGGGGCTGTCCTGGACCTGCATGGGTGGGGCAAGGGTCTTCACGACTTGGAGCCCAAACCAAGAAGGCCTGCCCTGGTGTCACCAGCCTCTAAGAGGTGCCCTCCTCTGATGCTGGGTGCGGCGTCTGCTGAGAGAGGGAGCAGGCTTCCAGCGCTGGGGTGCAGCACACCTGCCCCGGGAAGCACCCCTCGCACCTGCGGGGCTTGGCCTGCCCTTGGCGCCCCACTCCTGAGCACCCGGGTCCGTTCCCAGAGCCCTTCGACTCAGCCAAACGGCAGGGCCGGGCAGAGGAGCGGCACCTTCCTCCCTTCCGCCTCCCGCCTCTGTATCATCACAATAAACTGCCACGCCAGCAAGAGGCGAGGGACACCAGGAAGCCAGCAGCTCGCGTTTCCAAGCGCTGGAGGGCTGCCAGGGGCCGCGGGAGGCCTCTCCACCCGCTCCCAGCTCCCTCACCTGCCCGGCCGCAGGGGGCAGGGCGGCCACGCAGAGGAGGGGGCGGCTGCAGCCCCCACCCGGGACGATCGGCTGGGCCTCGGCCTTCCTGGCAGGGCTGCCCGGCACCGTTCCAGCCCGGCTCTCTCCCTTCGCCAGCCGCTAATGGCTTTGGAAGCTGCGAGGCGGCCCAGCGAGCGAGGCGCCCCCGACACAGCGGGTCAGGGTTTCAAGGGAAGAGGAGCCCAAGTGGCCGGCGCGCTGCGCTCCGGCGGCGCCAGCAGCGCTCCTCGCCCCATCGGGAGCCTCTGTGGAGCCAGGTGGCGCCCACCCACGTCCAGCCCAGCAGACCAGAGCGAAGGATATGCAGCCACCAGGTCTCTGACCAGTCACTCACCGGCGTTGACGATGGCATCCACCTCCAGCTTGGTGATGTCACCACGGAACAGGGAGATCTTCTCATTGAGTTGCTTGTCCTTCTTGAACTTGGGCTCCTCCACCTTTGCCGCCACCCCTGGAATAGGGAGGAGCCACAGGGGTCACGGGGAGGCCCCCCTGCAGAGTGACCAAGGCAGGGCCCACAGGTCAGGTGCAGCCCCACTGTGGCAGTTTGCAGCATGGTGACCACTGATGCTGGCGATGACATCCCACCCTGAGTGAGGACCTCCTACGTCCTCTTGAGAGGCCAAGGTCTTGTGGCCTCTCATGACACAGTGAGCAGGTACATCGTGCCGCCCACCCCAACTTCACACATGTGGAAACTGAGATGTAGGTGGGATAAGTGACCTGTCCCAGGTTACCGGTTACCAGGCCAGCATTCGAAGAGTCCGGGAGCTCACCAGCCCACCCCCCCACTGCAAGCAAGCTTCAAACCTGGCTCCCAACAATCAAGTAATCGGGGGCAGGTGGCTTATATGGCCTGGGGCTGGCTTCCCAGTGGTGTCGTGGGAATAAAAACTAAACTGGTCTCAGGCTGTGTAATCATTAAGTGAGGTGACACCCACCGGCAGAGTCCCACACACAGCAAGCCCTCCACCCGTCCATGTCGGATGCTTCTCATCTGCATAACTCTCCCAGGCCACACGTCTGAAGGGCCACCGGGCTGGCTGTGGCAGGGCCTACCTTTTGCCGTCTCCTTCCACGTGGGGATCTTCTTCAGCCTGATGAAGTCCCTGCAGAAGTAATGTTCCTCCCTCTGCTTGTCACTCAGGCCCTTCAGGAAGGCTGCAGGGGTGGAGCAGGCAGGGAGGAGAGTCAGGAGCAGGCAGTCCAGGGCACGCTCGCACGCCAGGCTGTCCTTCCCACAGCCAGGTGGGGAGGGCACATCCTAGGTGTGAGTGTCCGAGAGTCCCCAGAACATCCTGCCCCAATCTCTGTGTTCCAAGTGGGAAACTGAGGCAGGGGAGGCTGGGGGACTGCTTGACACCTTGGACCTCTCAGTTCAGAATTCAGTGTGGCCACTTACCAGCCGTGTCCCCATCTCTGTGGGTCCCTCATTCCCTCGTTTGCAGATGAGGACTAAGACTTCCCTAGCAGAATAATTTCCACCTCACACATAAGCCAGGAGGTGGGCGCCCTCTGTTACCTTACCAAGGTCACATCAACATCATGACTTGGGAATGGCAGGAGAACTGTCCTCAAAGTGCCACAGAACCAAGCAGATCTGGCACCTGTTGTCAACATCCCCCCAGCACTGACTGAGGGCACCCACGGATTTCTGCCCATTCTACAGATTAGGACACTGGGTCTAGGGAGTTGGGAGGCCACCCGTGGTCACACAGCTAGTGAGTGGGGAGCCAGGGCCCCACCTACTCATGGATTCTGGGTCTGCGGGGCGGGTCCCCTGCTGCAGCCCCGCCTCCTGGGCTGGGCCAGCCCTGTGGCCACACCAGGCAGAAAACCCAGAGCCCAGCTCCCGGGCTTCTCTGCAGGGCCTCGCTGGTCCCTGCTCGCGGCTCACGGGCTCCTCCTGCCGGCCGCAGGACGCCTGCACACCCAGGCTCGGCCCAACCCGGCCCCCTGATGGAGCAGCCCCTCTGCCTGCCTGCAGGGGTGGGCGGGGGCGTCACAACTCCCGGCAAAAATAGGTAGGAGGGGGCAGCAATTAGAGGAGGTGCTGAAAAGGGATGGTAGCCTCCTGGAAGCTTCCATGGAAATGGCGGGGAGCAGGTGTTCAACAGACAGGCGGGTCCCCCAGGGAATGCCCTCTCACTGCCAAGGCCATCTAGTCCATCCATCCAAGCCTCTGTCTGTCTCCTCATCTGCCCACCGGTGGCTCTGGTGACAACATCCCCAGGATGCCAAGATCGTGGCCTGACATAAGTCACAGAGAGGCTGGGTTCTGAGTCTGCTCACAGCTGTGGTGGGATTGCTGTTCAGGCCAGCAGAACCCCCACACTGCCTACCCGTGGCCCGTGCCAGAGCCACACTTTCTGGCAGCCACTTCCCGGCCCCTTCCACAAGCATTTATTGGGCACCTACAACATCAGATTGGGCCCTGGTGATATGCAAAATGTGGCAGAAGTGACCCTGTGGATCTAAAATCCAGCCGGGGACACTGAGGCTGAGGCAGGCATCACACAATCAAGCAACTCAAACTCTGAGATGTGCTGCAAAGGGATGGGCAGGAGAGGGGGTAACAGAACCCTGAGGCCTGGGGAACATGGAGGAGAAGGAGGGGCAGGCATGAAGGATGATCAGCTGCAGAGCCCCCAAGGCTTATTAAGGTCTGACCCCATCCCAGGGATGCCATGACAGACTGCAAAGTGTGTCCCCAATTTGGGGGGATTACTTACTCCCCAGTAATCCCCAGGACCTTGTGCATGCTAGACCAGTGCTCTACCACTGTGCCCAGCCCCAGCCCCCTCTTCATTCTTTCTAAGGGGACAGAAAGGCCCCTCCATCTCAGCGTCATCCTCCTGCACCCTATTCTCAAAGGACTGCCCTCCCTCGGGCACACGTGGCAGCAGACTGAGAAGCCTCCAGGGCTCCCACTTGCCCCTTTCTTAGCGCGTGGGATGACTAAGGCTGGAAGGAGCTCAAGCAACCCTCTGGGCTTGAAGCCTCCAATGCCCTCTTCTCTAAAACAAGGGTGTGGCATGGTGGAGCACACCTGCAGCCCAGGAACTCAGGAGGCTGAGCAGCAGAATCGCTGGAGTCCAGTAGTTTGAGAGCTGCTGGGCAACAAGGCAAGACTATAAACAAACCAACCAACCCCCCGGGGGGTCTGGAAAGTCGCCTCTAGCATCCAATGAGAAGTGGGCTGGGCTAGCACGGTACCCAGCGAAAGGCGGGTGGGCTGGCAGGTGGCACCACTGAGGGCAAGGAAGGTCCTAGAGGAGAGGCTGGCCTTGAGCCAGGCTCTGTCCCTCGCTGGCAGTTTGAATGCAGATCAGTTAATAAATATTTATTGAGCATCCGGCCCAGGGGCGCAAGGCAAGGTGAGGTTCCGAGTCTGACTGAGAAAAAGGGGAGAACAGGGAACCTTCTGGAAGGAAGTGATCCAGCTTCTCTGCTGTCCCCAGGAGCTGCAGATCACTGGAGGAAATCCCCACCTCCAAGCAGAAGGCTCCTGCATCCTGACCTCCCCTGCAGCACCTTCTGCCCAGACCTCCAGCTGCTGCTTTGGGAGTGCCCCCCCTTTCCCCAGCCAGCTCCCCTACTCCTGCTCCAGCCACAGAAAACAGGCGGCCATCAGATGCCGCCTCCGCCCCCACCAAGCTGGAACCACCACCTGCCAGCACCTCGTCCTCCCTCCCTCCCTCGGGTCACCAAGCATGAAGGACCTTCCTCCCGGCTGCCTTCCAGCCCTGGCAGCTCCCCTGGGCCCTCCCACACGCCCCTAAGCCCACCCAGGGGGGTCCCCGCACCACTTCTCCATCAGGATGAAGGTCAGGCTGGGGAGGAGCTGGGAGGTAGAGCACTTGCCTAGCATGCACAGGACCCTGGGTGCATTCCTAGCACAGGGAAAATTTAAAAAGATCAAGGTCGGGCCGGGGTTGAGGCTCAGTGGAGGAGCACTGGCCTAGCATGTGTGAGGCCCTGGGGTCGATCCTCAGCACCACATAAAAATAAATAAGGTTCCATCAACAACTAAAAGATATATTAAAAGAAAGATCAAGGTCCAGGTCACCTGCCACACAGAAAATCTCCCCTTTGCCTCACCTCTTCTTTCAACCTGCACCTCCCTAGGCCCCCACATTATCTCCACGGATCCAGCCTCTCTTCCCACACCTCCAGCCCCTCCTGACTCCTGGGCCCTCCCCAGGCCCTGGCTGCTCTCACCCCTTAAAGTCACATCGGCAAAGCAGAACTCTACTCCTTCCCCAAATCCGTGCTTTCTCACAGCTCTCCTTTCCGGCTTCCTTCCTTGGGCCCAAAGGTCTTTCCCTCCCCTTCCTCTTATCCCCAGATCCCATCCAGCTATGAGCCTGTTAGATTTATCCCTTTGACGCCCCTGGGGCCGACCCCACCACCACACCCTGGACCGACCGCTCCATCCCCAGCCGGTCCCCCAACTCCACATCATCCTCTCACTTTTTTTCTGGTACCAGGGTTTGAACTCAGGGGTGCTTGACTTCTGAGCCACATCCCCAGCTCTTTTTATATTTTATTTTGAGACAGGGTCTCGATAAGTTGCTTAGGCCTCACTAAATTGCTGAGGCTGGCTTTGAACTCACAGTCCTCCTGCCTCAGCCTCCTGAGTTGCTGGGATTACAGGTATGCGCCACCATGCCCAGCCCACATCACCCCTTATCCCATTCCTTGTACAGCTGCCCAGGGAACCTAGGAACATAAGCCAGATCCTGTCTCTCCTCTGTAAAACTCAGCTCAAACACCAGTGCCCCAGTGACAGCTCCCCCTCATCTCCTACCAGATCACTCACCATTCAAAACAACCAAATGGTTCCCTGTCTCAGGGCCTTTGCACCTGCTGTGCCCCCTGCCTGGGATGCTGCTCTTCCTTTGAAGTCCCTTCCCCACCACCCTTCCTCTCCCTTCCCTGCTTCCTAGACAGATTTGCCTTTGTTTTCACTTATTTCTGACTTTGACCTTGGACACAGCCTTCTTTTACAGAAGAGGCAACAGGATCTGCCTCTGGTCACAAAAGTGAAAGGAACTTGAGACAGGGCTGTCCTCCCCATTAACAGAAGCCTGGTCTAAGTGACACAAAGCTGCAAGACCTCCTCTCCCTACCAAAGTCCCAAAGATGCCACTTCTTCCCGGAGACAGCCTCCTGGCTCTGCCACCAGCCAGCTGGGTGCCAACCTTGGGGACATCTGTCATCCTGTGCCAGTCTCAGGCCCCCGCATGCACATCTCAAAAGGCCCGAAGCACTGGGCTGGGCACTTGCCCCTCACATGTAGAATATTCCACCTCCTGTCAGAAGGACAGATGCAGATGTAAAGCACAAGTGAGTTTTATTTTTTTTTAATAAAAGATGTAAAACATGCATTTTCATTTTCCTTCATTTTTGAAGAGGCGAGAGTATTTCACAGCTCACTGAGACAGGCGTTGTAAAAAGATGTTCGCAGTAAATTTTGATGGGGGGGCTGACCCCAGACAAGGCTCCCCGCGGCTGGCGGGAGGAAAGGCGGGCAGGCGGGGGCAGCTCTGCCGGGCCATAAAGCGTGCTGGGAAAGCAGGGAGCCAATGATGTGTTTTAAGAAGTGTCTTTATGGCGCTCCGTGGGACGGGGGACGGGGCGGGCCTTCTAGAGGAGGCCAGGCGGGAAGGGCTGATGACGCCCGGTGCCCATGACAAGGTGGTGGTTAGACTCGGTGGCAGGGGCATTAATCACCTGTGCCCGAGGTCCCCCAGGAGCAGGGCTTGTCAAAGCCTGTGGCAGGAATGATGGGGACAGGGCACAGGGCTCCTCAGAGCTTTCCTGCTTGCCTCCTCCCACACGGGGACATGCCAAGCTGCATCCGGGCAGATGGAAGATCACCCCCCATTCCCAGGTGTGCCTGGAGCATTTGCCGGTTCAGCGGCCACATCAGACACTTGATCGCTCCGGATGAGCTCCCGCGGGGCCTGAATTAGCCCTGGCCCCTGCCCGCGGGATCTGCAGCTAGAGAACAGGAGCCCCCGCTTGAGCCACCTGGGGCGTGCGGGGGGGGGGGGGGGTGAGGCTCAGAATGTGCAAGGACAGGGTCTGCAGGAGCCAGTGTCACTGTGCCCAAAATGGACCTGAGTGAGACGACCAGGAAGCGGGGTCACGGGACCCTCTGCAGGCCATCGCCGCTGATGTGATCTCCATCCCATCTCACAGACAGGGAAACCGAGGCTCAGGAGCAGGGGCAGCAGCTCTGGGCCCACCCAGGTCCAGTGACACCCATGCTCCTTCCCTTTAGCACACAGCTCTGCCCCCACATACAGGTTAGCGCGAGAAGACAAGACCAGGCCCCTCCTGCAGTGACACAGCAGGCCTCAGGTGTCCCCAAGAGTTCCACCTTAAGACCCCTCACACCCAACCACCTTTCCATGTGGCGCTCTGCACGGTCTCATGGTGGAAAGGCACCAGGGGGATTAACGTGGCGCTCCAGGACTGAGTGGACCGAATCAGAGAAATGAATGCCTGGGCAGTGAGATCGGACACTGCCAAAGTATGGAAAAAGATCGAATGCCTCCCAGCCAGCAAGACCTGCCTGAGGGTCTTTACTGACTGGAAAAGTGAGTGATGAATTTGGAAGTGAACAAACCAGGCTGTGTGCAGGGGCACCCTGGGCCCAGGCCCAGAGCACGCAGTCCACACCTCAGGGACTGAAATACTGAGCAGCCAACCAGGTGAGGAGATTCTCAGTGGGCGGTGGGTCCCCTCCCAAGAAGGGAAGCTTGCCATCCTGTCCTGGGACTAGCTTCCAAAACCATTCCACCCACCCCTGGGTGAGAACACGCGCTGCTGCGCAGACCTAAGGCTACCATCTGGCTTCCGCGTGGCTTTTCCACAGGGGGAGGCACCCCTGCCCAAGCACATGAGGGTTTCAGCCCATTAGCATTCTGTTTCCCCACTCATGAACTGCACATCTTCCTCTGACCTATACATCAGTCTCTTGTGAGTTTGGTTACTGCCAATCCTAGAGAAAAAATCATATCAGGCAAGCTGACAAGCATTTGGAGGCCTATCTAGCTATATTCTTGAGAGAAATGAGAGCACATGTCCATCAAAGATATATGCAAAAATGTTCAGAGCAAGTTTTATCCACGAGAAATGCCCATCAAGAGAAAAACAGGTAAACCATGGTACATCCTTAGGATGGAATATTAGACAGTAGTAAAAAAAAAGACAACCACACACTGTTGCTTCACCCGATGATATTCACAGATCACACAGACATGGAGTAAAAGGAGCTGGCCATGCTGTTTCCACAGAGCTCAAGAAGACATAAAACAGACAGTGAGAAGAGTGACGGCCTCCCAGGGTTTCTCAGGGGTAGTGGGAGTGCGCTGGCCACGAGCCCGAGGAGCGCCGTACATAGATGCATAACCCACCAAGAGCTGTGTGCTCCGCACACTCTGCTGCGGGACTGACCTCAGCTCCAGATGCAGTTTGAATATAATGAAAACAACTGCATGGGGCTGGGGATGTGGCTCAAGCGGTAGCGCGCTCCCCTGGCATGCGTGCGGCCCAGGTTCGATCCTCAGCACCACATACAAACAAAGATGTTGTGTCCGCCAAATACTAAAAAATAAATATTAAAAAAAAAACTGTAGGACATTGAGGACCATGGGCAGACTCCAGTTAGGGGCAGTCTAGCTGGGGCAGCTCTGCTGACCTCCGGCAGGACACTCTTCTGTTCAGAAGGCAGAGCCTGGGCTCACCCAGCACAGGCAAGGCCTGGGCCCTGATTTCCCTCCCTGGAGAGTGGCCAGGCTCCCAGACTCAACTCTGGATCCTAGAACAAAGTGGGAAGAGGCCGTGTGGGACTCTGACGACTAGGCCACCAAAAGGGACTGTAGCTCCCGTTTTGGTCTCCTCTGTCCCCTATGCTTTGGGGGAGGCCAGAACACTCAAGAGCCCTATGGGGAGGTCCCCAGGATGAAGAACTGAGGCTCTAGCCCACCACTGTCATCGGGATCACTCCTCCAGCCCTAATTGGACCCCCAACAACTTTAAGGGAGACCCTGAGCTTCAAACACCCAGCTTGGGTACTCCCAATCCTGACTCTCAGAGACTCTGAGTTAATATGCGTTTGCTGTCTTGTCACAAAAGTTCGGATCACTTTATTCATTTCTTTATTTTGCAGTATTGGGGACTGGACCCAGGGTCTCCCACACGCTAGGCAATGTTCTACCACAGAGCCCCAGCCCCGGCCCCTTTTTTAATATTTTATTTAGACACAGGGTCTTAGCTGGCTTTGAACTCTCGATCCTCCTGCCTCAGCCTCCCGAGCGACTGGTTCCCAGGTGTGCGTCACTGCCTGGGGTGATTTTTATGCAGCAACAGAGGCCCAAACACCAAGAGCTCTGCACCTCACCCACGAGCCACTGGCACCTTGGTGGAGACACCTACCTGCGTGCTGCTGTGAGTGGGCTTCTGGGGTGGGGGTTAGGGTTAGAGGCAGGAGACCCCCAGGTCCAGGTCCTTTAAGCCTGACCAGCTGTCACTCAACAACAGGCCTGGAATGATGGGCCCAGCCAGTGTCTTCCCATTTGGCTCACTTAGTTCAGGCCACCTTCCCTGAGAAGCCCCCCTGCCCCCCCAGCTCAGTGGCCCCCTCTAGCTTCTTCCTGGCACTGACAAGACCTGACACTGTCTCTCCTGTATGAGCTGCGTGAGGGCAGGCCCGTGCCTGTGCCACTCACCACCAAATCCCTGGCGCTGTGGGGCTACCTGCCAAGAGAAGATGCTCAGTAGCAATCTGCCAAAAGAATGCTGGAAATCCCAGCTCCAAGCAGAGGAAAGAGCCCTCGGACGCCACAGCAGCCTGGGCACCTCTGGCTCCACCGGCTTCCACAAGTCCAGCTGTTTTCAAGGGTACCAAGGAATGGGGGGCTGGGAGGAAAAGGGCCTGGTTCCTAAGAGCCGCAGCAGACCCCAGAACAAGTGCAAGGGACTACCTGTCTCCCCAGTTCTTTCCCACCATCCTGGCTTGCGCCTCTCTGACAAAGAGTGGCTCCCTGAGAGGACAGTGACACCCCTGCCAGGTGTCTCTGACACCCTACTCCTGCCCTAAGGGGTGGTTAGGACAAGGGCTGACAGTGTGACAGCCTCTCCGTTTTCCCAGTGAGTACAGCAGGTGTTTCAGGATCCAGGGTATACAACAATCCAAATGACAGCAATAAATCATTTTGATTTCTACTGCTACTGTCGCCAGCCCCAAGATAGCCACCTTCCTTTTACTTCCAGGCCCAGGCCAGCTTGCCCTGCCCCATGGCCACACCCACCAGCAGCCCAGCCAATGAGGCGCCTTTCTTGCTCTTTTGAAAGAGGACCCGGCCAGGAGTCGTCACTAGAGCCCAGGGGGCAGGCCCTGAAGGACAGGGGCAGCTGGACAGTCCAACAGGGCTATTTGGAACTCCTAGTCCCCTTCCCAGTCCAGGGATTCATGGCCCCTCCATAAATTGTGGCAGGTACAGAGGGGGAGGAGTAGTTTGATTCTTGGCGGCGACAGAAGGAAGGTGTCAAAGGTTCTCACAAGCAACACCCCATCTCCGTCTGCTCCCCAGCCCCCTAACCTCCTTGCCCCCAGGAACGCGGCACAGACAGCTGCAAGTGGCCAGAAGCCAACAATGAGGACAAAAGAGTACCAGACCGTACCCAGGAAGGCCCTGAGCAGGGCGGTGCTAAGAGCAGGGCAGTCCTGCCTAGGGAGGTCACTCTGTGGGGCTATCTGACCACCTAGATGCACGGCCTGCCCCAGAGCTATTTCCACTTGGTCTCAAATGCCACCACTTGGGAACCAAACTACAAGTATGGGGAGGTCAGTATCCTAACTTCAGCTCAAGGAAAATCGCGGAGTGACCTTGGGGAAGTGGGTTCTGGCCCTGGGCCTCAGTTTCCCTCCTGCACAATGGATTAAAGTGGTAGGTCCCAGATGATTTCTGGGAGTACCCAGCGACCCATTCCAGAGGTTTGGCCGCGGTCCTCACACTGCCCCTAACAGGAGACTCGACCTGGTCTTGTGTGAACTAGAGCGTGGGGCAGGGCACCGGGTAGGGGGCGTGGCTGCGAGTGGGGGAGGTTCCGACTCAGGGCAGGCCCGGCCTCAGCTTCCCCAGGTCTCCCGGTGGAAGGGGCTGCTCCGGGGTGCTGACCAATCGGGAGACCCACGTGGGCCACCCTCGCCCCTCGCGCTTCCACTTACATTTTGCCTCCTTCCAGTCGGTGGAGGTGCTCAGGTCCACCTTCGCCGCCATGGCCAGGGGGGCCCAGGTGCGCACCCCGGGTCTCCGCCCCACCGCCTCCGCCCCCCAAGCCCCAACTCCCGCCGAGGTCAGCGCGCGGGGGCCGTGCAAGCCCAGGGACGCCGGAGGGCCGCTCGCACTGCTGCGGGTCCGCGTGGGACCCGAGGGGCCCGGCCAGGGGCGCGAGGCGACCAGCAGCTGCCCCGCCGAGCGCAGCTGTGCCAGGCGGCGGGACACTCGGCTCAGCAGAGACATGAGCAGGCGGCGCGGGGCAGTTGCCCGCCCACTTGGACTCTATTTAAGGTGCTCGGGAGAGTCTCTCCCTATTTACTCGGGGACCGGGTGGCGCGTGCCAGCCCGTGGCGACCTGCTTCGAGCCGGCGGGCGGAGCGGCCAGAAAACCCGGGCGCGCCGCTGGGCACCCTGGAACTTGTAGTTCGGCCCGCCGGCAGGGACCTAGCACTAGTGTACACTCGTGCGCGCCCCGCCGGGCCGCCGCCGCCCCCGCGCGAGAGCCCCGCCCCCAGCTGTCCGGGTCTGCGGTCCTTCGACGGCGGGCGCCTGCTGCAGCCCGCCCGGCTTCTGCGCCCCTGGCCCCTCCGCGGATCGGGGGCCCCGGCGCTCCGAACGCAACTCAGGAAGCAGGCGCCGCGCCCTTGGTGCAGATGGAGAGACCCGGACTTTTCTCTCCACCGTCACCCCGGCGCCGCCTCCACGTCCCAAGCAGCTCCCTATCTCCTCCCAGACCCCAGGAGAGGCTAGTTCTAGCCGGCGCCGGTAGGCAGAAGACAGGTGCCCAACCGGTATTCCGGGTGTGGCGACTTTCCCAGGCCGCTGAACCTCTGCCTTCTAAAAAGCCCCAGGGGTGGAGGCCAGCTGGAACCTGAATTTAGAGCAACCGGGGACGTAGGGACATAGTGGAATCTGAAGGCAGAGATTTGGGTGCCCTGTGGCTTTCTCGGGTGGAAGAATTAGGTCGATTTTTACCTTTATATTTTCCCTAACTTTTTACAGTCATTAGGACAGATAGATTTTTAATTGAAATATTTTAATATTTTCCTATACTATTAAGATCATTTTTATAATAATGGGTAGATTTCGGGACTGGGGGTGCAGCCCAGTGGTGGAAGCTTACGTAGCAGGCACAGGCCCTGATAGGTTGATCCCTAGCATGAGGTGGGGGTAGGGAGATGCGGTGGGAGTTTCAGTGCCTGGGAGTTAGAAGCCAGGATTCCAGAGAAGGTTCCCATACTAGCTTTGCGTCCTAGGATACACTGGCCTCTTGAGGCCCCAGCTTCTGGAGCTGTACTTTAGGGATGAGTCGGTGCCTCAGGAATGCGATCTGGCAATGAACCTGCCCCTGCAGCAATAGCCCTGGCCATCTGTGAGGGTGGCTGATCTGCCCTGTGGGTGCGGGTGGCACCCCCACTGTGACCATGGCCTTGCACTTCAGACAGTAAATCAGCTGGACAGCTGGGCCAGCCCAAACCCTGACAGTGACACGTCCTGGTAGAGAGGATAATGGGGCCAATCAGAAGCCAGGGGCCAAGAACTAACTCCCCCAACCCCACTTGGACCCAGATCTGATTGGTCCCCATCTGATAAGTCTTCTTTGCAGATGTCACTGATTCACAAAACAGGGGGCTGACCCTCTGAGTTCGGACCTATTGGTACTGTAACATTACCACAAATTACCTAGTAGCTTAAAGGACACCAATTTATCTCATCTCTAGGTTTCCTAAGACAGAAATCTGAACACAAGTTGCTGACATCCAGGGACCCTCAGGGCCACATTCCTTCCCAGAAGCTGAAGGGGAGGAGCTGTTCCTTTTCCCACTTCCAGAGACCACCCACATTCCTTGGCTGGTGGTCCCTTCCTCCAGCTTTGAAGCCAGCAGTGTAACAGCTCTCTTCGACTTCTGTGGTGGCCTTTCCTCTGGATCCCATTTCCCTGTTCCGTTTTCAAGGACCCCTGGGTTTACCTGGGGCCCGACGGATAATCCGTGATAACCTCACTACTTAGGGTCAGTGAATTTGCTACCTAATTCCCTCCTTGCTGGGCAACGTTTTCATAGGCTCCAGGTTTAGGATGTGGACGCCTTTGGAAGGCCTTTATTCTGCCGTTTCTCTCCTTGCTGGCAAGGTCTGGGGAAGTGGATGCTAGGAAAGGCAGGGATTCCAGCCAAAAAAAGTTTGGTGCCCAATTAGGAGGTCGCCTCTCACCTGGGCCTGAAAACCTTGCATGCCCTGGCACCTCCTCCAGCGGGATGCCTGCTGTGTAGCAGCCCCTTCTCTATGTTTATGCTGGGATTCAGCTCTGTTTTCAAGTGGTAGCTGGGATGGTGAATGCTGGGAGCCATTAGCCAAGTAGGTATGACAATTTCCTTGCCAGCGTACCCCATGTTGCAGTGACATTGAATGTACGTGACCTTGCTCAAGGACCAAGGCAGATTAGGGTATTCCTGGTTTTAAGATAATCGTGTTTAGGGCGTTCCCAGTTTAGGTTCCAGGTTTAAGGTTTAAGATTATTCCTGCTGGGAATAGGGCGTATCCTGCTGCCTGAGTTCCCCTTGAGTTCTCACGGGATTCAGACAGTATATTTTGGAGATAGAAGCCCAGTGGAGGTGGATTTTGGGCAGAAAACGTGGATTTCCCCAGAACGTGATTGTAGATGGCTGGTGTGAGTTCGGGAATAAAGAGTTGCTGTTTGAATCTACAAGCTGTGTGGTGGCTCGTGATTGTGTGCCCAGCCAGACTGCTGCAGGTGAAGGTCCCAACCAACAGCCCTGCGTGACTTGGTCTGTCAGGGCCTGGGTCATGATTCTAACTAGGCTAGGCTCTCTTCCTAGAATTTGATCTGGGCCTTTTGGGAAAAGTGAAATTTTGCCAGGTGCCAAAGGTACATGTTGAGGGCACTGCAGGCAGCGGGACCCCCCAGAAGCAAAGGCATTGGAAGTCTCTGGAACACTGAATCCTCCCTGTGGAGCTGTGGCATATCAGCTGATGATTTTTAATGTCGGAGAGGACTTTCATGCAGAGAAAGGCTACCTACTGCTGCTAGTGTTTAAATTAATACTGTATTTATTAAACATATAAATTAAAAATTTTTCTTAAACATCCAAGTGCAACTTACAAATCTAGTTTTCTATTTATAAATCTACAATTTTTATAAAAATAAGAATGATTACTTTCACTATTCTTTGATTAATATTTAATTAACTCTAAGTTTAACAGATTAAATTCCTCTTAAAATGAATGCCAGTTATAAACTTAGGTAATTAAATTCCCTAATAGATTTTAAACTACATTTCACAGAGTGGAAATACATCAGTGGGTCCTCAAACACCTTATACTCCAACAGAAGCGATTACACATCTAACAAGCACAAATTTTTCCTGATCATTTAAGCAACTCTTGTACACTGATAGACTAGACTCTAAAATGTGGTGGTGGTGGGTTGTCATATGGCACACATCTGTAATCCCAGCTATTCAGGAGGCCAAGGCAGGAGGATTATAAGTTCAAGACCAGCCTGGGCAACTTAGCAAGACCCTTTCTCAAAGAAAAATATATAAAAGTCTGGGGATGGAACTCAGTAGTAGGATTCTTGCCTAGGCAAGTGAGTGGCCCTGAGTTTGATCCCCAGCACTACAAAACAAATGGAAAAAAAATATGATGAATCAATTCTTATAAATCCTCAAACACTATTTCTGAATTTAGGTCCTCTTATACTGTGTACTTATCTATTGCTTCATAATAAACCAAAAAAAATTTCCTGGTTTAAAATAACAATCATGGGCTGAGATTGTGGCGCAGCGGTAGAGCGCTCACCTAGCACGGGCAGGACCCGGGTTAGATCCTCAGCACCACATAAAAATAAAGGCATTGTATTGTGTCCATTTACACCTAAAAATATAAAAAAATGTTTTAAAAAATAACAACCATTCTAAGCAATCTAGGCTGGTATGAGCTGGATGGTTCATCACCTGGTATCACCTTGGTCACCCCTGCACCTGCAGCCTACAGTCATCTCGCAATCTCATGGGGGTGTCCAAGATGGCCTCACTCATGCAGCGGGCAGTTGGCGCTAGCTGACACCTGAGTCCCTCGGTTCTGTTCCACATGGCCTCTCATCTGTTGGGGACCACATCTAATGAGGCTTTCCTGGTACTGGTCCACCTGCAGTTGAAAACCAGAACAGGACCCAGGGGAATGTGTCCACACTAACTCCTCCTGCTGGGGTACGAAGCATCACTGTGCCCTGAATCGGTCACCCGTCAGCCCACTCCATTTTAGGCCGACTGTCTTTCTGCCTTTTATTACTTCATTTAGTGGATGAGCTTCCTTGCCTCCTGCTCTGGGTCCTCTGATGTCTGCTCTGGGTGACGATAACCTGGCATGCCACCCCATCCAGGCTGTAACTGTCTCTTCCTATTTTACTTTACCACCTGCCTACATTTCATTTTACTGCCTGTTTCATTGGCCATATTGTATAGTCATTATGTTGAGAGGTACATAAGGACAGACAGGTGACAAGGTGATAAATGTCCAGAGCTTCCAGCTATAAACTAGGAGCCAGGACAGCAGGACACCCCTCCTCCATCTGACTCCCCACAGGGTGGGTCTGAGGATCATTTCAGGTGCCTGGGAAAGGCCTTATGATCCAGACAGGGTCAGGCAGGTCCAGGATGCTCTTAACCCATAGTGCCTTCCCCAGAGGGGCCTGGGTAGGCCAGAGCCGGAAGTTCCCGAAGCTGGCTGAGGGAGGCTGTCACTACCCTTGGACTTCAGAGAGGGCCTGGGAAGGAGCTGGATGCTCAGGGGACATTTGGCTTAAAGTGCATGAAAACCTTTAAAATAATAATTTATTGTAATGAAATTAAGCAATGTAGAAATAGAATAACAAAGAAATAAAATAAAAAGTGAGGGCCAGGGGCATAGCCCAGAGGTAGAACATTTGCTTTGCACGTGTGAGACCCTGGGTTCCATCCCTAGCACCACCAGGAAAAAAAAAAGAGAGAGAGAGAGAGAGAGATGATCCAGTTGGAATGAGGCCCAATGATAGTAACTAAAATGCTTTCCCACTCTCTGGGCCACTCTAGCAAATAATTGAACCCAAGGGACGGGTCATGGGAACCCTCCATGTACAATGAGCTGGTCAGAAGTACGAGGGGTCCAGGACTTGCTACTAGTGATGAGGGTGAGCCCTAATGCAGTCCATCAGTGGGAGCTGTTTTGTTTTGTTTTGTTTTTTCGTACTGAGGATTGGACCTTGGGGCACTTGACCACTGAACACTTCCCTAGCCTTTTTTTATACTTTGTTAGAGGCAGGGTCTTGCTGAGTTGTTTAGGGCCTCACTGAGTTGCTGAAGCTGGCTTTGAGCTCATGATCCTTCTGCCTCAGCCTCTG